CTCTCTCTCTCTCTCTCTCTCTCTCTCTCTCTCTCTCTCTCTCTCTCTCTCTCTCTCACTCACTCACTCTGCAATAACTGGCAGTATTCCGTTCGCTGACCGTACAGTCGCGGCATGTACAAAGAAACTCATTTCACCCCCTCCACCCTACTGACAAGACAACAATAGACAAGTGCTGTCTGAGCTTCTTTTCATCCCCCTTCGTCAAGACGTGGAAGTCAAGCAAGCAACGATAGTTTGGTACCACACGATGGTACTGCCTGCATCCCTCTCCATGCGGCCTTGCCTGGCGTTTCCATTCCCAACTTCCCCTTCCCGCTCCCCACTTCCGCACGTTGACGCTTTCATAACTTCAAGCTGGAGACGTTGAGCCTTTCCGCTCAACTTAGTCGCCCTAAAACCACCACCACCATTGCGTAGCGGAAGCTTGGAACCAGCCTCGGACTGGTGGTTCTCCGCTCCCTCTCCCGCCTCACGTGCACGCTTCCGGTCCTGGCCATCAGAAGATGCCACCTCTGCAGAAGGTACCACAGGAGACGGATGTGGAGATGAAGAAGGCTTGGCGGGTGCCGCCTCGTGCCGTGCGCATGATTGACTCCCGTTCGGAGCGCTACGACAGCCGGGACGGAGTTGGAGATTACCTGGAGGCATGACATCCTGTGAGACCGTCTTGATACTACCGCCGTCTTTTCCCACCGAACGTCCACCCTCACCACTGCCACCAGGCTCGTTGTCGTTGACGGTACGGATCTGCGGCTTGGGCGGTCTCCCTTGTAGTCGACGTATGGTGTCATGCTGAACCTCGGTTGGTGCATCGCCTACGTTGGCAGGGATAGGTGCTACATCTCGCTCGTCGGCTGCTACGGATTCCGGTCCCTGGCTTGCTTTAAAGGTGTTGAGGTCTGCTTGACGTGGCTGCTGTTCGCTTTCTTCTTGGTCGTGCCCTACCTTGGGACCAGCGGGCTGTGGCGACACCAACGTCTCCTTAGAAGCTTCGTGCTGCTCAGGTGTATTTTGGGCATCACCGGTCGTCGCAGGAATGTCATCCTCTGTCGGCCGACTACACGTTGAGCACAACAAGTAGCACGGTAGTACACAGCAGGTTGGGTGATACCGCACTGCGCGATCGCCTAGATTCGGTGATATTCTAGGTGTCCCAGGGGACGGCAAGGAAAACAATCAACACCACAGAACATGGACGGGCTTTGTTCTTAAGTCGCTAACACACATTTCGAGGTGACAAATTCTTGCCCAAATACTCGAGGTTTGCATGTGAGATCAGTCAATAAGAACACCTGCTGCTCCGGGAGCTCGTCGAGGTTGGCGGACTAAGGAAGTTGGTTCATTCCAGCACTACCAGCACAAGCCAGACCACCCTAATCAGGTCCATTCTACGTTTAATGACGAATGATGTTGGAGCCACTGCCTGACCCAACAAAAATTATTGCGGTGTGCTCCGACGCCTAACTGCCGCTCGTTTGAAATCCGCCACCACATGGACAATGATCACCCAGTATGCTAGAGATATTCCTTTACCCTTCGTCGTTCCTACCAGCTGTTTTTGTGCTCTCCCTCCAACGCTCCAGCGTCTGTCTGACCACCAGTGACCACAACGTCCAGTTCGAGTTCCTGCAAAAACTGCATCATCAGCTCCGGGCTCCCACCGCCGTCTTCGCAACCGCGGTCGTAGTCTCTAGCCGACGTCGGCGTCGACGGTGATGGCGGCGACTGCAGGGACTCGATTGCGTCAGGATGTTCGGCGTCTGCATCGATGGGTTCAGGGGACTGGTCCTCCTGTCCCACTACGGCCTGTAGGGTAGCTCGGACAGGAACGCTCGCTTGCAACGGAAGCGCTCCCTTCTCTCCATCCCTGCCGTGCCGAAAACTCGCCTCCCGCATCGCCCTCTCTTCGGACGTGTCCCGGCCCTTGGCGCTATTACTGCCCGACGCTTCAAAGGCCGTAGGTGTTGTGGCGTCCAGAGCCCCGCCAAATAAACCCCACGTCCGAGCCAACACATCGAAGGCTGCCGTGAGAGAAGTAATAGACATATCCAGACGGGTCAGTGACAAACTCATGATAAGAGTATGGCAACGGGGGGGCGATAGAGAGGCACTTCCCCTGTTTAACGTAGCTTCACACCTTGAACAGCTCCCCATGTGATGGCTGCTTGAGGGTCGTTGTTGAGACCGGCGCCTTGTTTGGCAGTGGTGGTACAGTACGAATGTGCGGGGAAATTGTCTGCTCGGTAGGCATCCTTGAACAGGAAATCGCATTTACAGTAAGTGCTGTACCTGGGGGCGCTGCGTCCCTTGGCGGAGGGTTCATCAACTCCTCGTCGTCGAGCATGGGACCCTGTTCAAAATCCGTGTCGTACTCTCCTTGAGAATGATGGTGAACCTATTTGTCGGGAGACTTCGGATGAAAGAGCTGCAACAAATGTATTTGCTGTTGGTTGCTTTGCGTTGGGCAGAGGAAGCACGCGCGGACTATCATGAAACTCTCGTGCAATCACACGCACGACAATGCAAACTCTACAGCAGGGTTTCAATACTACAGCTTACCGTTGTAGCGTAATGAGCTAGGTGACCAACCTACAACGTCGAGGACTGGTGGGATGTCAATAACGACGACGCCCCATTCTCGGTTGATTTGGGTTGTGCCTAGGGTTACGGAGAGACATGCCGACGACGGGCTAAGCACTGCCCTTGCGTTTGACAAGGACATGCGAGCGTAGCTTGTTAACCTCAGAAGCGTCTTCGCAGTGGTGACCCCCCGGTTGGATCTGCTCCTCCGCCGGCGCTTGGACTGAGAAATCGGGACCACAATCGGACGCTGAGCTCCTGCCGCAACGAGAACAAATCAAGCGGAGACACGAGATGATCTCGATCAGACGGTATCTATCGTAAGCCATTACATCACAACCTTTCCAAAGTTTGGGTTTGGAAATGTGTACAGAGTGTTGTTCATCTTTGCGCGGCCTGTGTAGCGAAGGGAATGAATTTTGCTTTCGCCCATTGCATCTGTTGAAACCTCTCTGGTCCTTTTATGTCGATTGGCCATCCTCAGAACTCGACGACCCGGGTTCGATGCTTCTCTGCTCAGGCAGACAGCCACAATCCTTACATCAAATCTGTGACATCCTTCCACAAACAAGTTTGTCGCACAATCAACCTAGAAACCGTGAGCGAAGGCGAGGAAAGGATATCTTCTTCAACAATTGTTTGCCACATCACCAACTCCAGGCTCCTCACACTTCGCGATTTTGCCCATTACCTCGCGAGCGCGCACTGACGGTTGCTGCGATAATCTGACAGCATGTTTTCCTTCCACAGCCCCGCCGGTGTTGCCAGGGGGCTTGAGCAGTTGCCGTCACGCAGCCCTCCGGCGATAGAAAACCTAGGCAGTCCGCCGGTACTTCCGGACTCACGCACTCCGAACTGGGTGCCGTCAGTGTCGCGGTTGTTGTCATGGTCGTTAGTAGGAAAGACCAGACCTCCCACGGACGAGGCCGCGACCGCCGTTGCAGACGATGTCGCGGTGAAAGGACCATCAACCACCGGCGAACCGTCTTGCGCAACCGCGAATCCGTCGTTGAAGAAGCGCATAGTGTGCTCCACCTCACCAAACAAATAATCGCAAATAGGGTTCGGGGTTATCTGAACCCAACCAAGCCCGGGCACGTATTGGTGCCAGCGGAGATGATTGTCTTCGCACACTCACTCAAGTAGTCCAGGACTACTATTAATAGCAGCAGTACCCGGCTGCATATTACCCCTTCTATCTAGAAAAAGCACGCCGTTTTCCGACACCGAGTTGCGTCCAGGGAACTAGACGTCCATGGATGCACTCCGGGGGTCTGGCAGGAAATTGTCGGTGCGCGTCGTGCTTGCCAAATATCCTATCCCACTAAACTACAGTAAACGGCAGAAGCAGCATTGTGTGTACAATAGTAACTCACCACCGGATCGCTTGCGCGGCCCAACTGACCCATGACCCTCGGCGTCCTGTTATGATCAGCGTTCGTACCGTCGCTATCAGCAGCAGCACCAGCAGTACGAGTTGAAATATCCCCGGGAAGCGCGCGGCCTCTTGGGTACCGGTCCTCTTCCACGCGTGGTCCAGACGAGTTGCTAGCGCCATCGCCGATGCCAGCACATTCACTACCAATAGGCTGCTCCTCGTATGAGTTTCCAAAACCTTGTTTTTCGGCTGTGCCCCCCCCCCCGTCAAACACAAGCTGCCTCCTCTCGAGAGGTAAAAGCGTGTGCCTGGGCGGGCGATCTTCAGGCTGTGCGCGGAGTAGTAACCCTCCGCCACGAAAGCTCGCCGTCGGCCGCTGCTGGCGGGGGTGATGGCGAAGCGGCCTCTCAAAATCATTATCGCCGCTGGAACCTCGCCTGGGACCATCGGTTGGCAACGCCGCCCCAGGAATACGTGCCATACCATCGCTGCCTTGTTGCTGCCGAATGGTGGCGTTGAATGGGGGCGTCACCTCGAGGTCAAGCGTTCCCGGCTGGAAATCTGGTGTGGTACCAGACCCCAGCGTGGTCACATTGGACGGCGGGGAGGCTGAATCTTCCGCCGTCGTGTGCTCTGCTGCTGCCGAGCCAGCGACGGTACGCTGCAACGCGGGCACCTTGTGGGTGGAGGGAAGCGGTTGGATCCATCGAGACTTCAGCCGGGATACATCGGCGGACTGCTGGCCAGACGGAGGCAGCGGGGGAGAAAGCGGCCAGCGTTGGTATATTGACGGGGGGCGAGAACCAAGGAGAGGCAGGCCGAAGCAGTTCTCTCCGCAATGAAAGGGTCTATGAAACAACCTACTGAGACTATGGTCGCACGCACTTGAGCAGATGGCGAGTGATAGAAGAAGCTTCCGGTATTTGGCTTCCTTACAATGCGACATTGACGGGGGTGCTGTGCACGTCGTGTGTTGGAAGCAGACGTACCACCAACCTCACAAACTCGCACCTGGTTCAGGGTAGAGCTGCTTGCGCGGGCCGGTCGAGATACGGGCGCCCTGGCTCGATCGGCAGCGACCTTGGCAAAATGCTTGGCTCGAAGCTCTTTGACTTTCTGGGAGCGTTGGACCCTTTTCCTGCATTCACACCACCGACGGATGAAGCAAGGCCGGGGAGAGGGCGTCCAAAATTTCACAATTTGGTCGGCCTAATTCATATCCGTTCACATCATTCACACCCCCAACTGTTCAGATACTCTGTCGTCGTGCAGGGGGTACTCGGAATCTCAACAGACGCTTTCCAGGCCTAACCAAGCGCGATCCTGTTATTCCCAAGGCTTGGGTGGTGCGGGACGTTTCTGCCGATAGGACATAACAGCTCCAAAGGCGGCGGGATTTCCATTTTGGCATGACTGTGCTGTTTGAAGCGATTGCATCAGCCTACCTGCAGGGAACTTACCTGCCCGATGTCATCCAATTCATCCTTCCGCCAGCAACCCAGCCTGGTAGTAACGGAACGCCGACCTCCTGACTCTCTGACACACCTTCTTTCTCTCTCTGCTCTGGTCATCGACGAACCTGCCTGCGGGGGCTCCGTGAAGCATCGGCGAAATACCTCGCCCCCTGCCGCGTGAAATGAGACCGATCCCCCCACCTGTAAGGTTTGGGAGTGAGTTTGTCGAGGTAGGTCTGGGTCCTGTGGCATAGAGCTGTGACGCTGCTACTGTACAGAGCATGGGGGTTGGCTGTGTGGTATATCCCATGAGCTTGGGGGCTTGGGTTCTTCAGCACAGTTCACACCCTATCGGAAAAGTTCCAGATGGAGTATCACACAAGTCGCGGTGTGTTCGCTGGGTGTGGAGCGCCTGTTTTTAGAAAGAGCGCAAATATAATATAGTCGTGCCTGCTGAATGCGGAAATAAATATGGTTAGCGGGGATGCCCGATCAACCCACGGCATATCTGGTTCTGCACAACAAACGCAAGAATGATGACCAGCTTTTGGTTCGTTCTTATAGAGAGTAGCCTGCACCGGCAATAACCCGGCGTGTCACCCCGTCCCGGCATCGTGGGGATGCGAGATCTGTGGTCTACGACATGCGTTCACATCATGAGTACAGTTCCCCGACATCGAGAATGCCTCAAACAATGAACGAACCCATAGTGATGAAAGGGTATGTTTTCACTACTGTACAACTGCCCGTTCATCACAACGCGAAGAACATGCGACGCAATGATGGTTCACCTCGTCACGAACATGCTGTAGCGTGGGTGACACGAGTCAAGTTATTGGAGCCCTCCGAACAGAAATGTCCATATCTTACAAAATGTGGATCGAGTTCTACTGCAGCTGAAGAGAATGACCTGGCCCGCTTGCCACGAGCTCTGTCCTTGACACTCGATAAAGGTTCAATATGGGAGATGACTTGACGTGCGGGCAGTGCCGATGGCTTCCAAGAATGTTCCGGTTCTCTTGTGACATCCTTGCACGGGACAGAGTGGAAATCCGCCAGGTGTATCCTATGCAGTACTTCGCGTGCAACGGCTGCGATAGGGAGAGAGGGGCAAATTGTGGGGACTCATGAAAAATGGCGGGCATCGCTGCATGAACGAATATTGTAAAAAAGCGAGTGCTTCCCGCGTCTTTCGCGGTCAGAGCAACACCGTAAATGAACGCCCCCCGGACAAGTGAACTTATAAACCATCTGGCATGGCGGTGTGAAAAATGCAAGAGATCTCGAAACCAGAAACAAATCAGAACAGAACCAATGGAATGAACCCTTCGCCTCCCCAATCTACAAGGTTCAAATTCAGAAGTGCTAACACCAGAAGCAATAAAGGCCGCCTCGTGATAGCACCATCGTACCTCAAAAACGCAGGTGTGCATCAAGCTCTTAGTTCTACTGCTTAACTGCTCCTGGTCGGGGGATTTTCCTCGAAACAACAGCGCACGAAAACAAACCTCACACCTAGGAAGCACGACCTCTGTGCCAACACATTCCGCACGTTGATCTGTTGTACAAGCCCACCAAGATTGTGGTACAAAGGATGTAAAACACAAGGACCATATAGCGGCAAAAAAATTGGTCAGAGAAGCGCATCCGACAAACGTCCCTGGAACGGTTATAGTTGACATGTCAAAAGTGTTTCACGCGGATGTACCTCGCCGGAACATGCAACCACGAAAACCAGCTGCGCCCCACCTTGAACTGTGCAAAATTCAATCCAATCAACAGTTCCCGAAAATTTCATGACACCCCACCTATCGTGGGGCCTTCAAAGCACACGAACACTTCAAATCACTAAAAAAAATTAAAAAATCGACACGAGCTGTATCGTCTCATTTCCCCTTGAAACCCGCATGCTAGGTAACCGGGCAGAAGCCAGTGGACGTGCTACAAGGGAGGCCTCCCTTCAAGAACGCCTTGCCTACTTGCCACACAACATCCGCCCAAGAACACTTGGCAGCGTTTTCAAAGCATGTAAGCCTGTCTACATACTCCCATTAGATATGCCCCCTTCGATTTCGACACGGCTGCGTTCTTGCTCTCCTCAGCAGGTCGCTCGCAAATGAAATTTCATTAAAAAGTTCATGAAGAGATACAGCAAACAGACAGTTGTGGAACAATCTACCCACAAAAACAAGCACGTCGGACAGTACTGCATGCAAATTTTCCATACGAAACGTGAAAGCACAAAGAAGAAGACCCACTCTCAGGCCTACATAGCACGCTCATATCGCCAATATCTCCGCTGTCCATGGAAGACGGCCGTTGCATTTTCATCTCCCAAACAAGCTCTTCAAGCTGTGCCTCCTGCTGGAGGTAGCGCTCCTGCCGCTTTCGCTTTGACCTGAAACATTGGACACATTCCGGGCGGTAGCCGACACAAACGCGTTCAACACGTGTTCGACAAGCAACGGGCAGCACCAGCACGGCCTCAGACGTGCGGTCTCCTGTCATACAAGGACATCTCTCATGTCCATAGTCGCCAGGCGCTGTCCACCAGAGCGGCGCAAATCCTCGATCCGACCATGAACCCAATCACGCTCCTTTAGATAACGGCCCCACGTATCAGTAAGACGTAAAGCCCCCTTTCTCGGCGCACACGTACTTGCACGCTTGTACTTGCACGTCGGGAACGCCAAACTCGAGGCGGCACGATTTGAAACCCCCACCCGCAACAAAACGAGTAGGGAAAATTATCGCCATTTTCCCCACACATCATACATGTTTGAGGAAAAAACAATACGTCGGCTGATAAGAACGAGCTAAGCGTCATTCGAAACCTGGGTCAATGGGTGCTCCAACTGCTGCCCCCAAGACTTTCTGGTCACGCACCTGCCGCCGACGGAGCTCGTTCACTTCCCGACGACCTATGGCTGCCGCTAGCGCTCGTCCCTCTCCCTTTGTACGATCCACCCCCGTCCCGGTTGTTCACGTACTCTTGGACCTAAGGAGAAAGCGGCGCGAGCGGGGTTCGAGGACGCATGTGGTATTGAGGGGGAGGGTGCACTCATATTCGTGCATGCCGTAGTCGTTAGACCATTGACCTCGCATCCCTACAAAGCCGGGATGGAGCACGCCCCGATCTTCTCACCGGGGGCTCTCACATCACCAAGCGCGAAGCGCCGTGAGATATTCGGCGAGTCGCATGAAGGGTGCGCTGCATCCTGCTAAGGGTGTTCGGCATCTTGTGCTTACTTCCTTGCGTACGGATGACAGCTGCGTATGACTTAATCTATTTTCTGGTGCTTTCACTTCCAGAGACAGTTGTAAGCACTGTGTAACTGTCTCGAGGATGCCTGGCCATATAAACACAACGTGCGATCATCCCCCCTTGCGCGGAGAGAGGCTTCTCGACCCCGCCCAACATGATCTACTCGACCACCATTATGGTTACCGCCAAAAGAAAAGAGGAAAAAAAAACAAACGGTAACCTGGTTGCCGAGTTCACGAAGTGAATTGGCTTGTTTTACAACGTCGTTGCCAAGCAACGAAAACCCAACCCCGATGGCAAACACCGGGGAGAGGGAAGTGGTAATGGGAGGGTGGCGAAAGGAGCGTCGTTGGAGTTGGGGTCGTCGCTCGCATCTCCGCACACAGAGCGGCATAGACGGTGGGACAGAGAATGCGGAACAGGCTCGCGTCACGACCAACATGTTTGCCATCGTTGAGTTGGGAGCAAGGAGATGACCATCTCACCAATGCCTGCGCATGGTGTAGTATGATGTGCGGCACGTGTGAGCCACACATGCGTGGGGTGTCGACAAAGTGCATGTGTTACTTCGTACTTGATGGAAAGACGTAATATAGGCTCAACTACAGTCGATGAACCCCATTCCCGAGAGCTATGGTGCCTCACGTTGCGCAAGCGGGTGGAATCATAACAAGCACGAGTTGCAGTAGGCACGACAGTCTAAGAGTCGGGTTCCCAGCAGCAAATAGAGGCCGCCCCCCAAAAGGAGCCACACGCTGCTGTTCTTGTCGACTCCAGGACTATTGGCACAATCATCCCCTCTTCACTCCACTGCAACAGCGCCCCATAGAACGGCAAATAGGATTCACATCCCCCTTGTTGTCGGATGGTTCAACTCACATTGGTTTCCCGCGTCCCGTCGGTGTTCACCACGGTCCGTTCCGTGCGGGCAAATAGAGTCCTGGACCTTCCGTCTACCACCGTGTGGCTGGACATCATGGAGGCCCGTGTAGCTCCGCCTCCAGCCCCTCGACTGCTACCGCTGTCAACGCTAAAGCCGCGGCTTTGGCCCCTGCCAGAGCGTTCCCCGTCTACGCCCAAGCTGATCCCACCGCCCAACAAGCCTCCTCCCATAACGGTGGAAAACATGCGGTCCACCTCCTGCAAAAGCCCGCCCATGCTGCCGTCAGAGCCACCCCGAGAATTGGTGCTGCTGCTGCGTCTGGGACCCACAGAAGTCGGTGGCGGTGGCGCCCCGTCACGCGGCTTCGCCCCGACACGAAGTTGAAGCACCAACCCAGAACTACCGCGACTTAGACCGGGTCTCTCGTAATGCTGCGGCCGCTGCTCCTCCCCCTGCCTCCGTGTCTCCTTCGGGTAGTAGTTTCCGTTCAGTCGCTCGGGCTGGGGCGGTACGTAACGTGTTTCCGTTGGGTAGGGTGTCTTCTTAGAGCCGCGGCGGAAAATACTGCGCCCGGAGGTTGTCGCCACTCTGCGCTCCGGGGTACGCGACTCGGTTGTTGCCACGCTGCGTTCCGCGGTACGTGGCTCAGAACGAGCAACGGCAAGGTCCTGGTCGCCGTCCTCCGACTCCGAGCTATCCGAGGATTCCGAGCTAGGCGGGTAGGTGCTAAGCGGCGCCTGGGAAGCCGGAGGAAGTGTGCTCACGTGCTCGGAGCTTGGCGGGTAGGTGCTCGGCGGCGCCACGGCCGCCGGAGGCAGGGCGTACGACTGAGCTCCGGGGTGTGGGAACCCACCGCCGCCGTGATGGGCGACCATGCCAAGAGGCGCGACCGTGCCAAGAGGCGCAGCTGCCTGGTGCGGAAACCCGTTGGGGTAAGTGCCAGCCCCCGCCGCCGGGGGCGAGTCTTCCTGCAACGCCAGTTCCGTCGAAGGGCGCGCCGAGGAAGGTTCGGGGGGTAGGGATGGCGCTACGAGAGCTGAAGCGGGAGCGCCGTAGCTGCCCGCGCCACGGTCATCGAAGTTGTACCCGCTCCACGAAGGCGGCGCGTGCTGCTGGTACTGCTGTTGCTGCTGCTGAAAGGGATATGGCTGCTGGACGAACTGGTTGCCGTAGGCGTAGGCACTCTCAGGCGGCGGGGGAAAGTGGCCGCCTTGATGGAACTGTTGTTGATGCATGAACGGGGAGGGAGCATGCTGGAACGGGTATGGCTGCTGCTGCTGCTGCTGCTGCTGCTGATGTTGCATCTGTGTACCGAGGAACACGTGCGGGCAGGGAGGGGAAGGAAGAGGCATGTCTGCATTAATTGATTGCGCCTCGACGAGAAGTTGGCGGTATCAATAGCTCAAGATAAGCCTCACATGTTGCTTGATAAGAGCTCTAAACTCTCCGTGCCCTGCTACGGCAAGACTGCAATAGGGCGAGGAAAGTGTGAACTTTCCCGATCATGCCAGGCGACCGAGGCAACACCCTCGCCAAAGGCGTTGTCATAGTTCGAGATGAACCCCTTGTTGTTGTTGTTGTTGTTGATGTTGTTGTTTTCTTCACATTAAACTCGTGTCAGTTGCTAATCCCAAAATCTAGCGAAGACTCGGTCCGTGGTCACAAAAGTGCTAGAGCCATCAGAAGATCAAAAAGAACACGCACACCATTATCAAGAAAAGGGTACACAAGCCCGAGGAGGTACACCTACAACCCTGCAACACGTTTGCGTGCTCACAACTGAACTACACGCCCACACCCATGCCGCTTCGCAAAAGATACCGTGCAAAAATCCCCCAAAACACAAACGCATGGTCTTCAAGGTCAACCCGCACAAAGGCTGGCATCTACAAGTACCCCGCCTTCAACCAAGATACGTATGCTCGTGTAGAAAAGCCGCAGCAACCGTGTTGGTTCGTAACATACCGAGCGTTAACGGCACAATGCTTTCCCACACCAACCTCTGGCCAGCTGCCTGGACGTCACTCAAATAGTGAAACGGGCGATCACGCCGCAATAACACACGACACGTGCAGCAACCACGACCGGGCAACAATCGCGAAGAAAGAAATGTGGGCAAACAGGGAATCCCACCACTACCCAAAGGGCAAGTGAAGCTCTCACCCAGGCCTGGTCGTAGCCACCACCGACGCCCTGGTCGTATCCACCACCGACTGGCATGCCTTGCCATGCCCCCTCACCACCGGGGACACCCCACCCGCCATGCCCTTGCTGAGAAGCAGGCGCTGGAGGGTAGGTGGGTGCAGCAGGAGGGGAAGCGGGGACAGGTGGGGTGGTAGGGGCGACACCAGCGCTTGAGCGTTTGTCTGTTGCGGCGGAACCAGCCGCGCTAGCCGTCGGCGGGTGACCCTCGCGGTCGTACTTTTCTCTCCGCTTCGGATCTCCCAGTACAGCGTACGCCTGATTGTGGGAACCGGTAAGTTCGCAGCATCACAAGGGGGGTGCAGCAGCGAAGGACGTTTAATGGAGCTAACAACAGTAGGTACCTTACCTGGCACGGCACAGCACAGCACCGGCAGTACGCAGTTGTAAGCAGCAATAGTTAACCTTTGCCATGACACGGCACAGCACAGCTTCTGCAGTACCTCTACCATGACAATGCTGTCTCTGTAAAACGATTATCGGACACGGCGAAGGGAAGAGGCTATACTGCTGAAACGCTACGGAGCTAGGCACGTTGACAACATCCAGACGCGTCAGCGAAGACAACGCAGTGATGTAACATGCCGCTCCGCTCTTTTAGTAGCGAACGGCGGGGTGCCCGACAATCCAGTCCCGCAGGAAACCAACGATATATTCTCATCGCAGCGGTCATCCCGTTCAACGCCCCCCCCCCGCGGACACCCCCAGCCCTACTCCGAAATAGTTCAAAGTTGAGCGCGCACCTCTGTGACTAGCCTGAACACCTCTGCTGCCTCCTCTCTTGTCTCCGGTGGGTTTTTGTCCTGTATGCAGAAAATAGCTGGCTTAAGCATCAGAAAAAAAATGTTGGCATTACATATTTGTTGTCATCCTCGGCAGAGTTGAGCAGAGACGCTGGAGATTGTGCACTAAAAATAATTCGGCTCGATGCAGCAGTCGCGCTTCGGGCAGCGGTCATCGAAAGAACACCACCCGTGCAGTTAGTCGACGAAAGGTAACTGAAAAGCGGGAGAGGGGGGCGTTCTGAACTCTTGAATTTCCAGAAAGTGCGGAGCAATCAGTTGCAGCGGAGCAGTAGTGTTCGCGGTTGGCTGGTAAGTAAGCACCCCCCTGGCTGCATCAATAAGCCACTGCGTGCACTCAATCACGACCCAGCAAGTCGCCGATCGATTGCCGATACTTTTGTTCAGGAGAAGAAACATTGCACTCAGGAACATGACATGTGCTCAATGATACGTCTATTAGTTCGTTCGTGCAACACGTCACATGGATGTTACAGGTGGAACAAGTTCAACGAAGCCGGTTATGAAACTTCAACAGAACCGGGGAGGGCCTTACCATAGCCTTGGCTGCTTGCTTTCGGATGGCAAGTGCCTCGAAGAGGACCATCACACAACGCTACCAATCGATGCCCCTGGCACACAACAACAGTAGTAGAGGCTGCTTAAATGGCGAGTTCAGTCCGCGGTCCGTTCTGTGGAACGCCGTTCCCGCCGATTCCCGAAAACTCCGCCTTCCCGGCAAAGATGATGTGCTGGACGCTAGACAGCAGGCAGCACAACGAAAAATGAACCCCGCCAAGAAACAAATTGAAAACGAGAGCAACAACCCCCAGAAACTCGGGCCATAGTGCAGAAGGGGGCTGAGGTTGAAGAAGGGCCGTACATAGGCGGCGCGCAGCCGAAAGCTCCGCTTATCCAAGTGTGCACAATAACAGACGCACACATTATCTTGTTGCCACTCTCACCGGATGCCAAAAGAGCGCCAGCTTGCGGTACACCCTCTTGATATCCTCATCACTCGCACCTCGCTCAAGGCCAAGAACATCATAGTGGCACGGCTTGCCCGGCATGACTCTCTCTCTCTCTCTCTCTCTCTCTCTCTCTCTCTCTCTGTGCGGCTCAGGCCAGGCAGGCGGTTGCACCAGCCCGCAGCCCGCAAATTGACTGTCGGGGGCGCCGCACAATGCCATTCACAGAAACGGGGGGTGCTCTATGTGTCATCGTTCAAATCTGTGCATGACCGCAATTTCGCGGGAGGGGCGTCGCTTATCCTGGTAGGCCTGTCCTCCATCGGCCGTTTTGCTTGTATGACGGAGAATAAGAAGGTGGAATCACTTGAAATTAGTATAGAAATAAAGTTTGTGTATCTAAATCGAAAATAAAACGGCCGATGGAGGACAGGCCTATATCCTGGTTGTGTACAATGTCAGTGTGTGCAGGTAATCCCTCGGGTTTAGCTTCCTCATATTTCCAGCATACTCCACGATTGCATTCCAGCTATTATTTCCTTTCTTTGTCGACACCATGAGCCATGCGGACGCAGCAATCGTTAACAAGATGGTGGTTCTTGGCCAGGTGTCGAATGTCGAGGAGCTGATGAGAGCTGGAGCTGATGATCCTGATAGATGCGTCAAGGGGGTGCCCCACCTCGTCGCTGCGGCACGCGCAGGTACGAATGGTCGAGAACTGCTGTGTTGGGCGCGGGTGGATTATCGGTCCAACATCCGTCTCACAACTACTACTGTATGCTACGCGCGGCACCATTACTGCAACAGATGATGTGTGGGTACAGCAGTTTGCACTTGCTGCGTACCTCTTTCAGCAGACGTTCGATCGATCAGCTACTCCGTGGAGATACCCCTCTAGAGGGACACCTCGTTGCTTACATGCGGTAGTCCTTTGCTGCCGTGCCGAGCGAAGAGAGGAGGCTCTTCGTCAGAGCTTCCGCAGATGCACACAACATCAAGAACAGACCGCCTACATCCACGTTGTATCCCCGACCGGGCCGTAGACCTACAGGATGCGGTTTTACCTGCTGTAGTCTAGGATACATCCACCACCGGGTTTCGGCTCATTGAAAAAGTAATTACATGACATACGACGCATCCACCAGGGTTGGAAGAGAGCTTGTGAGACTTGTACATTTGACAGCTAATTCCGCACCTGTGATTAGGCCTATCCTCCATCGGCCGTTTTTTTTTCCTTTTTCGGCCGCTTTTTTTTTTCTCTTTCGGCCGCTTTTTTTCCTTTTTCGGCCGCCCCAATTTGTTTTCGGCCACCCCAATTTTGTTTTCGGCCACCCCAATTTTTTTTTCGGTCACCCAATTTTTTTTTTCGGCCACCCCAATGTGTGCCCGTACTAGCCCGTACAGGTACCCTTTTTACACCCTCTCGTGCATCCTATGCTTGTTGCGCAAGATGGATCGGGGCTCGTCCATTTATCTGTGTTCTTTGGAAGTAAATAACTCTGTGTCTAGTCGCAGTAATGCACCGGTTTATCACTAGTCATCATTGAGAAAAAGAGTACTATTTCATACCATACGCCTCCGAAGCCTACTCTTTCGTGTTTCATCTCTCATGTCGTCTATTGCCCGTCGCTCATGTCCACGTCTACCACCCCCGCCTCCGCGCTAGCCCCTCCACCGCCAGGCCCCTCCTCCTCCTCCTCCTCCTCCTCCCCGTCCCCCT